GTTAATGGGTTAAAACAAGCCTGGCTGTCATCTAAAAGTGTTCTAGGTGGCTATATAGTTTCTCTGATCTTCTCTTCTGTTCATGAAGGTGCTCAGCTCTGAGTGTTTCCAGTTTCAAAACTGTCATTACCCGGCTGTTCTAGCCAGGGAAGCAGCTAATTAAACACGATCAATGCTTGATTATCTGCATTGGAGGGTAGGTAAGACACTGGGACACTGATTTTAAGGCCATAATTCCCGATTAACAATAAACTGATGAGTTGTAAAATCTTTTAAAGCGTTGCCTATAGAGATTTTTTAGGTACCATAGTCGGTTGCAAAATCACGGGTATACACAGTTTTGAGATGTGTGGTATCTATTTATATTTTAGTTTATATTTTAGTAAAACATTGGAGACTATATTGTGTTTGTTCGCACTAAAATTCATTTTAATGGTTTTTTTTTTTTTGCATTTGATAAACAGTTGTGCAAATGTCATGAAACATAAAACAATGCAACTATTTTTTTTATTCGACAAGTCCTCTGCATTCAGTAAATATAGTATGTTCTGGTATTTTAAGTAATATACAATGCAAATTTTAAGGCGTGCAAAAATGGAAAAATTGCTCTGGTTAACTGGTTAAGTCGCAACATCTGTGCACAGTGCCCTGGGCTCCTCAAGTTGTGGGTACTGCTACAAACACCTACAACAGTAAGTCAGTCCTGATGAAGGGGGTGCTTGAAAACTCCCAAAATGCATTGTTTTTTGTAGACAATCAATTAGATATAAAAAGATTTGTTCAAATTTTTTCCAGAGTTTCACATACAGTACAAACCTAGATTTTAATCTCACATTCTCACAGTCTGGTTGAGAAAGGACATAAGACAAACATCAACTTAGATTTGTGTAATGTATTATATAGCAGCTTATAAATTCTTAGATGTGGTGGCTGTATTCCTTTTCCTTTAGGCTTTTTTCCATTTATTTTCACCTGTTGATCTTGCAAGTAAGTTTATTTTTCAAAGTTCGTAAACAAAGTTCCACCTGAAAAAAATAAATAAATAAAAGTCAGCAGCTACAAAAACTGTAGCTGCTGACTTTTAAAATACAGACACTTACCTGTCCCTCGGTCCAGCGATGTCCTCACCACAGCTGGTTTCACCGGCTGTCTTGTCTCCCTGGTGCCGGCATCTTCAGTGTGGGCACCCGGCTGTGATAGCTTGGGGCTTCACAGCTGGGTGCCCACTGTGCATGTGCAAGAAGCGCTGAGCTTTGTGAATGGCCCCATAGTCTTCTGGGACCTGTCACGTGTCCGAGAAGATCACGGGGAGGGAGGGAGCAGAGGACAACTTCCACTTCCGATCGCCTGGGTGATCGCAGCGGAAGTGGGAGTGGGTACCTGTCAAATTCGGGTACCCACTCTCCAAAGGTGCCAATCCTTAATGGGGAGCGGGGGACAAAGGCTTAAAGCGGAACTTCCCCTTTTGGGTGGAGCTCCGCTTTAATTTGTAAGCCAAGTCCATCAAAATTCACCAGTACATCCAACACTATCCTCCCACCCACTACCCAGACTGACAATGCAGCTTTGCAAAGGCAACTCCATTTTACCTCCATCTAGACAGGAAATGTATTATTGGCTAGATCACCAGGAGTAAATAAAGGAAAAAAGGTCTAAAAAAAAGCCTAATGCAGTCACCACATTTAAGTATTGGTAAGCTACAATATATTACATTTTGTTTTGAGTGCAATACTGCTTTAAAGCGATTCTAAAGGTTTTTTTTTTCTGTAAAATAACAAACAGGTCTATATTTACTTACTGTGTGCAGTGGTTTTGCACAGAGCAGCCTGGATCCTCCTCTTTTCGGGTCCCCCACAGGCTCTCCTGGCCCCTCCCTCCTGTTGGGCACCCCCACAGCAAACAGCTTGCTAAGGGGGCACCCACTGCTCAGTGTGTCCATTCACATACGGAGCTTGTCCCTGCCCTCTCTGCCTCCTCATTGGCTGACTGGCTGTGATTGACAGCAGCGGGAGCAATGACTCCTGCTTTTTGTGTCAGCTAATGAGGAGGCAGAGACCCGGGACAGCCGAGGCTGTCATTCACAATGCTAGATTGTGATGAGGCTCAGGTATGTATTGAGGGGGCTGGGGGCACAGCTGCACACAGAAGGTTTTTCTACCTTCATGCATAGAATGCAAGAAGGTAAAAAAAAACCTTCAGCCTTTACACCCACTTTAAGCATGGCTACGTGCCCATTCCTACTAAATACCTAAAACACCTAGACGCACTGCAAAATTAAACCGTAATGATTCTATTCTATTGTAGTGTCCCTTTAAGAGATAAATCATTTGCTGTTAATTCCACTCTGTTATTCTGTCTTCTGATTTTCTATGCATCACCTGCTCATAAAATAACCAATTCATCTGTGTTTGTATTAATGCATGGACTGTGCAAGCCTTTCTTTAATCTATAATTAGATACCTCTGGAGCGTGCACATGTCCTTCCACCCTACAGTATAGCATTATTTCTGCTATCTATCCTTCTCCACTCTTAATGCTTCAGTAAATCAAAGTTCTACCTGTATAATATGGCAATTTACTCTGATGCTCTCAGTCACACTGAAGTTGTTTTGTAAAGTATGGGTGGCGTGCCACTGCCCTCGAGCCGCTTGCAAATAGACATCGACTCATGATCATTATCATTTAAAGCAGACCAAAATAATAATAAAAAAAACTTACTGTTACAAAACACCTGACTTTCAGAGATAGGAAAGGACACCATTTAGTACAAAGCAACATGGAAACAGATGGTCATAAGAACTTTCCTGATACCATAGTCCTACACAGCAATATTAAAACTGTAATTTTTATGTAGCACTACCCCCTTAGGACTCGCCAGAGATTTGGGTCCTTCTATAGTCCTACACAACATGCATTTTCCACACAGACTTGCATCCAGGAGACAGAAACCAGTCCTTGAGCTTGTTTTTTGGGGATTTTATTAAGGGGTGAAAAACTTGAATGGGGTAAGGGGGTATGGGATGCCCAAGAGGATTGCAACTGAGGACAACTTCCTGGAACTATGTACAAGTCCTTTCAGACAAAAAAACTATTTTTGGAGAGCTAGCCAGACTCTCCTGATGTACCACCCCGGACCCTGGGCAATCCTCCTTTATCCAGCTGTCTGATGGAATCCCTGGGCAGGGGATCCAGTGTCTGCCACTTCAGTGTGGAACAGTCCCAGGTAAGAAAGCTAATCCAGTTTCCCACTAGGGTGCTTCTTTCCCCTTAACTGGCTTAGGGAGTGCAGGTCTACTCACTCAGTCCTCTGCCTATGAGCTGATGGGTCAGTGGCTGCTTCCAGCATTTCTGCTGGGCCGCTCCTTCCCTTCTCACAGGTGGTCCTCACTCTGGGGGCTGATGAGGTCTTGAAATTTCCTCCTTTCCAGCGCCACTGCCTGGAGGTGAGCCCTTTCCCAACTGGAACCCTCTGTCAGGAATGGACTTGCCAGTAATGGTGGGACTCACCTGCCTTGTGGGCTGCAGTACCAGGGCTGGCCAGCGGGTGCTCTCAGCAATCAGAGACTCAACCCTGCAGCCAGCCAAACACCTGAAGCTGATTATGCAGGTGTATTTAAGGGATGGCCAGACCTGCAGTCTGGGCCTTGGTGTGTGTTTTTCCTGGGCCCCTGTATCTTGTAACCTGCGTTCCTGTTCCTGTTCCTGCCTCTGCCTGACTTGTTGCTGACCCTGCTTGATCCTGACCTCTGCTGACTTCTCCTGTTTTGATCCCTGGCTTGTGACCCCGACCATGCTCTCCGCCTGCTCCTCCTGTACCTACCTGCCCGATAGTTATCGACCTGGCCTGCCTGATTACGTTGTGCTCTATATGTGTATGTACCTGTGTATCTGTATCAGTCTAGGTTTGGGTTTGTTTCACCTTGTTGTATGTATTTGTGTTAGCTTGGGGTTTGGTGCACTGCGTTTATGTTTGTATTGTTAGTCTTTAATAAATTATATTGTTTATAACTTATCTGAAGCCTGCATTTCCCTGCGTCAGTTCACATACCTCTGGTCATACCCGGAGCCCTGACATTACACCAAGGCCAATCCTGACCAGAAGTGGCTGCACAGGGAAGCCATCTTGGCTTGTTGCTAGGAAGGATGGATCTTGATGAGGTTGTGTATTTGTCGCTGCTGGTTTTTGATGACAGAGAATATGCTTATCAGACTCTGAGGGAGTATACCCGGGATCAACTGCCAGAATGTATACGGATCGCTCATGTTCTAGTAGATCAAGGCAGAGTTCTCTGAGGTGCAGCCATTGATTCAGATTTGTGCTGAGTTGGCTTCATCTGGTACCCCTGAAAGCAGGAATGACTTTTTGCCACCATTTAGTGCAGACCAGGTAGAGTTCCTGGTATGGTTATTAGAGGATGATGTGGATTGCTTCTTGGAGCATTATGCTGCATGTTCACCACAGGTATTAAGGGATTGTATAAACGCAGTGCAGTCTTTGGTCAGACAGGCTTTGTGTAAGCGGAGCTTTGTTCAACCCGTACTGCAGACATGGTCAGATTTGTTACACCCAGCCTCAGTCAGCCTACAAAAACCCAGTCCTGCTTCTAATCTATTTCTTCAAAGCTCTATTCCTGCATTCCCAACAGCACCTCCAGTTACAGCCCAGTATACCCTGCTATCTACCGCATGTCAGTACCCTGTTCCCACTCGCTGCACCTATCCTGCCTTTAACCCTGTAAAGAAGCCCTCTGTAGCAACTGTTCCCTCCCCTGTTCCATCCTCCAGCTCTTCTGTCTCCAGCTGCTCCATCCGTTTACAAACCTGCGCTTACTTACAGTGCTCCGGTAACTAAAACCAGGAAAAGGCGAAAGTTCTTTCCAACCAATACCATCCTGCCAGTATCCAAACCGGTCAGCCTCCCATCTGAGAACCTGCCTTCCGTGGTGCAGCCTGGTGCCTCGGCGCCCACAATTCAGCCTGATGCCTCTACCCAGCCTGATGCCTCCACCCAGCCTGATGCCTCCACCCAGCCTGATTCCACCACCCAGCCTGATGCCTCCATTCAGCCTTATGCCTCCATTCAGCCTGATGTCTCTACCCAGCCTGATGAACTGATCCAGCCTGATGATCCCATTAGGCCAGTTAACTCGATGCCCGCTGTCGATATAGACGATACGGTACCTGATGACCCAGTGCCCGCTGTCATGCCTGGTGACCCGATGCCCGCTGTCGGGCCAGACGATCCAATGTCTGACCCAGTGCCCGCGGTCATACCAGTTGACTCGGAGCCCACTGTCGTGCCTGGTGACTCGGTGCCCACTGCCTTGCCAGATGACGTGGTGCCCGCTGGCGAGCCAAATGACCTGATGCCTGGTGACCCAGTGCCCGCTGTCATACCTGGTGAACCGATGCCCGCTGTTGAGCCAGACAATCCCATGCCTGATGACCCAGTGCCGGCTGTCATGCCTGGTGACCCGATGCCCGCTGTCGAGCCAGACGATCCAACGCCAGATGACCCGGTGCCTGCTGTCAATCCAGACGATCCCGGTACCTGATGACCCGGTGCCCGCTGTCGTGCCAATTGACTCAGAGCCCACTGTCGTGCCTGGTGACTCGGTGCCACTGTCTTGCCAGATGACGCGGTGCCCGCTGTCGAGCCAAATGACCTGATGCCTGGTGACCCGATGCCCGTTGTCGTGCCTGACCCGGTGCCCGCCGCTCCGCCTGGGGGCCCGGTGCCCCGCCTGGGGGCCCGGCCCCTGCCGCCCCGCCTGGGGGCCCGGCGCCCGCCGCTCCGCCTGGGGGCCCGGCGCCCGCCGCCCCGCCGCCTCGCCTGGGGGCCTGGCCCCAGCCCGATGTGCCGCTGCCCGGAGCCCAGCCCCATGTGCCGCTGCCCGGAGCCCAGCCCCATGTGCCGCTGCCCGGAGCCCAGCCCCATGTGCCGCTGCCCGGAGCCCAGCCCCATGTGCCGCTGCCCGGAGCCCAGCCCCATGTGCCGCTGCCCGGAGTCCTGCTCGATGTGCCAGTCTTTGATATCCCGCCAATTACCAGACCCGGGCGGTGGAACATTTTGCCCAGCTAGGACTGTTTGGAGCGTCCTGAGGCCGCTCCTTGAGGGGGGGAGGGGGTACTGTCAGGAATGGACTTGCCAGTAATGGTGGGACTCACCTGCCTTGTGGGCTGCAGTACCAGGGCTCGCCAGCGGGTGCTCTTAGCAATCAGAGACTCAACCCTGCAGCCAGCCAAACACCTGAAGCGGATTATGCAGGTGTATTTAAGGGATGGCCAGACCTGCAGTCTGGGCCTTGGTGTGTGTTTTTCCTGGGCCCCTGTATCTTGTAACCTGTGTTCCTGTTCCTGCCTCTGCCTGACTTGTTGCTGACCCTGCTTGATCCTGACCTCTGCTGACTTCTCCTGTTTTGATCCCTGGCTTGTGACCCCGACCATTCTCTCCGCCTGCTCCTCCTGTACCTACCTGCCCGATAGTTATCGACCCGGCCTGCTCTATATGTGTATGTACCTTTGTATCTGTATCAGTCTAGGTTTGGGTTTGTTTCACCTTGTTGTATGTATTTGTGTTAGCTTGGGGTTTGGTGCACTGCGTTTATGTTTGTATTGTTAGTCTTTAATAAATTATATTGTTTATAACTTATCTGAAGCCTGCGTTTCCCTGCGTCAGTTCACATACCTCTGGTCATACCCGAAGCCCTGACACCCTCCCAGGCTTCTGAGCCACAGACTTCTCTCTCCATCTTCCACCCGAATTCTCCTGTTTCTGAGCAGGCTCTCGCACATTTAAGGGCTACCCTGGCCCCATGCCAAGCATCCTGCTTGGGGATTGGCCAGGGTCCCCTAAATGTGCAGGCCAGCCCCTTCTCCAAGATTCTAGAGCAGGGGGAGGCATCAGGGAACTGACCTACAGAACCTCTCAGCTCTACCCACAATTTGACCCTACTAAATATTACACCCAGGCTGCTACTTAACCCTTCTAACTAAAGATTGAACTACTCCTGGCTATCTTGAGGGGCGCTTCATTTATTCATCTATCATTAAAACCTCTATGCCAATAAAAACAATATAGCAGATAATTTACAAACTTTACAAGCAGTTCATGTCCAATATCCAAGTTACTGAAAATAGTCTGCTTCTTTAGGGAAAAAGTGACTTCTAAGTATCCAAATGTCATATATACACATCACTTTTAAAATCTTCCTCTTTTCTAAAGCTACCAGTCACCCTTTTCCATATTAGGCTCCATGCACACTAGTGTTTTTTAAGCTCCTAGAAGCTGTTATCAACATTTTTTCTTTTTACTCCTAGAAGCTAAATAGTATTATCTTATGTGTCCATGAACACTATTTTAGTCTAATAGCGTTTTTCAAGCTTCAGCATTTAAGAGCAGCAAAAAAAATGCTGAACACTGCTAAATTCTGCTAACAGCTTTTTTCTAGCTTTAAACATTCATAAGCACTTCTAAAAGCCACAAAAATGCTACTAAAATCCGGCACAAAAACTGTATTTTCAGCATTTTTTTTATCCAGATTTTTTTTCTAAGTTTTTTGGAGCTTATAAAAAAGTGCATGGAGCTTTACTGCCCCTAGGAAAAACGTCCAGTGCAGGGGCGGACTGACAACTCATGGGGCCCCCGGGCAATAGGGGATCATGGGGCCCCTGTGTCCTTGCCCAAACTCAAAAAAGCCTATGAAAAAAGTACCAGGGGCATCTCATGGGGCCCCCTACTGACCCAGGGCCCTCAGGCAGTGCCCGAGTTTCCAAATGGTCAGTCCGCCCCTGGTCCAGTGTGTCATTTGTACATGAGTTGATGTACAAGAGCCCTGATCTCAGGCCATCTGGGTTCTTAGCAGATGGAGAGAGAAGACACCCTCATTTAAGTGGACCATGAGCAATTAAAGCATTCCACTCACCCTGTCAAAAAATAAAAGTCAGCAGCTGCAATAACTGTAGCTGCTGACTTTTAAAAAACAGCCACTTACTGTCCCTCGGTCCTGCAGTGTGTCCCCCGTAGCCCGTTTCACCGGCTGTCCTGTATTCCTGGAGGCCGGCATCTTCAGTGTGGGCACCCGGCTGTGACTGCTTGTATTTTTCATTTCATGTCAAACCACACTGCATTTGAATACTAAGGACATTTGGAAGTCACAGAAGTCACAACCTACTATGTGGCAAGTTAGACCTTTTTATCATAATACAGGAGACTTCCTGACTAAGGCTAGCATGGGAATAAAGAGTGATTGCCTTAGCCCAGAGTATTTACTTACAAGTGCCCACAATGGCATTCATGGACCAGTGTCTAGAACGTCATATTTGGAGGGGGCACCAAACCTGAAGATGCAAAAATCAGTGATGGCGTCTTTTCCTCTTTTCAGGTTATCTATGGCATTGGTTCAGCAAAAGAATTGCAGGGTTTATGGGGTCAGGGGAATATTAAGTCAGAAGGCTCTCTACAAGTAAATAAACATTAAACCATCATTCTCTTCATAGGGGTCTGTACACTTGAAAAGTAATTCAAAACATTAAGCAGTCCACATGCTGCCTAAAACAGTCATTTTAGTAGTAGTGTTTGCTAAATTCATCAGATGGCATTAGGGGCAAACTTGTATGAAAAGCTTATCATCAGTATATATGATCCTGGAGGTGAGCCATTTACTTTCAGAAAGCACGGCCTGAAAAAAGACTGTAGTTAAATCCAGCTTGACATATTGCATGAGAAACTACAGATGATTGCATGAAAGGATCTTGATTGTGTGATCAAACATAATGGTATAAATACTCAAAGGTCAAAGAAAGTTAATGCACGCGACATCCAAGATAAAATGTAAAATTGTAATGGACTAAAACCATGGATATTCCTTCACATGAAAGTCTGTTTGAAGACAAGAGGCCCCTTAATCCAAAAACCCACCTACATCCTGCCAGGGTAAAAAAAAAAAAAAAAAAAAAAAAAAAAAAAAAAAAAAAAAAAAAGGAACTGGGCTAATTTGGTTTTTTTTTTTAAAGGCAAATTACATAAATTAAGCATTTACTATGAAGCACACCACACTACCTCTGAGAACAGAATCTTTGGATTGTCATGACCTGGTCATTTTAAGGTCTAAATACTAAGGGGTCAATTTATTGGCATGGCACTGGATCACACATTCTAGGGGAGGCTTCTTGACTCAGTATTCCGATTATATTCAATTTAAAGTGGAACTAAATTGCATCTGAGTACCACACACCAAAAATACAATTTACTGTAATTCATTTTTAATATTTAAAGCAAATTCTCCCATCCATCCATGTCTGCATGTTTTATTTTGCTGAGAAATCACTTTGAAAAACACCCCCTAGCATTTCTGGTCATGGCCATCTTGAGTAAGGGCAGATGATCATGTAGTATTTACTTCCTAGAATCCATCTGCCCTCAGCTCAGGCACACATGCAGGAGGGTGTGCTTAGCAGAGAAAAGCCCTCCTCCCCTCCTGAAGTCTCCTGGGATATATGACATCATTTGCCTAGGCATGGAAACCAGGAGGTAACTGAAAAAATGTAAAATAAAAGTTTTAACTGCATACTGCTTCAATTAAAACAACTAAATCTTATACCATGCAGTATTGTACAATTAGCACCCTAGACTACAAACCACACCACCTTCTAGGTGAAATATTTAGGGAACCTTGAACGCCTTCTACTCTGCAGACACTATTGATTATAATACCTAATATTAGCGCCCACTTTAGAGGGAATGGGCCTGGGTTGTGCTTTTTTTTCCCATGTAGAAAGAAAGAATTTCTGATGCAGTAACCAGAGTTTGACTGGAAAATAGATGTGAGGATGTTGTCCTGACTCAAACCCATAAGTACAGGACCCTTGTACCCTCACCAGGAAAGACTGATGACCATATCACAATCAACACTATTCTATGGGAGAAAGAATCAGCAGTTGTAAACCCATCTTCTATTCTCACCAAAAACTGTAAGCACACATCTAAATCAACCGCCACTCTGCACTAGGCATAGAAGACAAAGAAAGAATCTGATGGGGACCCTCTCAATGAGGAACTTTCACTTGACTTGAATTTATTGGTAACAACCATAACAGGTTCTTGTTAATGAAGTGGGATTACTCCCCACTAAACATTAAATCTCTATTTAAGTATATTTCCTGCCGACAGGCTTTCATGTATGAAAAGGCCGTATTCCGACAGTAGCAAGATAACATTCCCTTTAAACAAATATTGTCTTTTGCCTATATCACCTTGTACTGTCCAGTTAAACACATTACATTTTTTTGTGCTCAGGATCAGAGATCCCTCTAAATCAGTGTCTCTCAACTCCAGTCCTCATGGACCCCCAACAGGTCATGTTTTCAGGATTTCCCTCAGATGAAACAGCTGTGGTAATTACTAAGGCAGTGAAACTGATCAAATCACCTGTGCAAAATAATGGAAATCCTGAAAATATGACCTGTTGGGGGTCCATGAGGACTGG